CCTGGGATCAAGTCCTGCATCAGGCTTCTTGCTCAGCAGGGGTCTGCTTCTCTGCTTCTCCCCTGGCTCATGCGCATTCTCTCGCGCGCTCACTCTCTTTCTCTCTCAAATAAATAAATAAAATAATTTTTTTTTAAAGATTTTATTTATTTATTCATGAGAGACAGAGAGAGGCAGAGAGAGAAGCAGGCTCCCAAGGAGGAGAGAGCCCGATGTGGGACTCGATCCCAAGACCCTGGGATCACGACCTGAGCCAAAGGCAGATGCCCAACCATCTGAGCCACCCAGGCACCCCATAAATAAAATATTTTAAAAAAATAAAATAAATAAAAAACATATACAAAGACCAGTAAGCGTTTGAAAAGATGCTCAACATGTTAATTATCAGGAAAATGTGAATCAAAACCATAAGGAGATACCACTTCATACCCAGTAGGATGGCTATAATTTATTTCTTCTTTAATGTTTATTTATTTTCTATAGTAAGCTGTACACCCAATGTGGAGCTTGAACTCATGACCCCCCAGATCAAGAGTCGCAGGCTCTTCCAGCCAGGCACCCCAGATGGCTGTAATTTCTTTTAAATGGAAAATACCAAGTGTTGGCAAGGCTGTGGAGAAATCAGAACCTTCATACATTGATGTTGGGAATGTAAAATGGTGCAGCCACTTTGGAAAACAGTCTGGCAGTTCCTCAAAAGGTTAAACTTAGAGTCACCATATGAATCAGCAATTCTACTCCTAGGACTACACTAGAGAACTGAAAGCATATGTTCACACAAAAACTTGTACGTTAATGTTCGATGCAGCATTGTTCATATTAGCCAAAAGGTGGAAACAACATAGCGCATCAACTAATGAATGGATACATAGAATGTGGTAAGTCCATACAATGGACTGGTATTTGGCAATAAAAAGAAATTAAGTACTGACACATGCTTCACCATAGATGAACCTTGAAAACATGCTAAGTGAGAGAGGCCAGAGTCAAAAGGCCACATGCTGTATGATTCTACTTATATGAAATGTCCAGAATAGACAAATCCATAGACAGAAAATAGATTAGTGGTTGCCTGGTGCTGAGAGAATTCTGGGGAAAGGGAGTGACTGCTGGCCAGTATGGGGTTTCTTTTGAGGATGATGCAATTTTCTAAATTGTAGTGCGATGGTGGCGTAACTTTATTAATATACTAAAAACCAAAAAAAAAAAACCACCCTAAAAACCACTGAAATGTATGTTTTATTTATTTATTTATATTTGTTTGTTTGTTTATCTATTTTTTTTTAAGATTTTATTTATTTATTTGAGAGAGAGGGAACATAAGCAGGGGCAGAGGCAGAGGGAGAAGCAGACTCCCCACTGAGCAGGGAGCCCGATGCAGGGCTTGATCCCAGGGCCTGAGATCATGACCTGAGTCAAAGGCAGATGCCCAACGACTGAGCCACCCAGGCGCCCCTATCTATTTATTTTTAAGATTTTGTTTGTTTATTTGACAGAGACAGAGTGAGAGAGGGAACACAAGCAGGGGGAGTGGGAGAGGGAGAAGCAGGCTTCCAGCGGAACAGGGAGCCCGATGCGGGGCTTGATCCCAGGACCCTGACACCATGACCTGAGCCAAAGGCAGACGCTTAACGACTGAGCCACCCAGGCGCCCCCAATTGTACATACATTATAAAAGGGTAAATTGTATGGTATGTGGCTTATATCCCAATAAAGCTGTTATATTCAAAACAACAACTGTCCATAGCTCCCCATTGTCCTAGGGGCATTCAAAGCTCTGTCAAGCCTGTGGTATCTCTCTTAGTTGGATGGGGGGGCAAATGTAGGGCTATAATCAGGTAGGGTGGGGGCCGGTGGCACAGGAGGTGAGAGGATTCACCCAAGGCAGAACAAAGGAAATAGTTTAATGAATACACCGCAAGGGAGAGGCAATCTGGACAGCAGAGAAGAGGCCGGCCATCTTCAAGGAGGCAGTGGGTGGGGGCTGTGTTTTATTTTATTTATTTTTTTAATTTTATTTATTTGAGAGAGAGAGAGCACAAGGGGGGTACAGAGGGAGAGGGAGAAGCCGACTCCCACTGAGCAGGGGGTGGGGGCCAGTATTTAAAGCAGGAAGGTGTTGTACGTAGGCCATTGGTCAGTTAGGGCCTGTGGCTATTTTGAGGTGGGTCGCCTGCTGGGGCTGTCTGGATTTAGCCAGGGGGTCGTTGTGGGCACTTTTGCCTGGATCAAGTTTCCATTGCTCAAGCCTGTTGTCTCAAAGTATCCTCTACAAAGCATGATCCCTTCTCAACACCTTTGCCCTAATAGTCTTTCTGTCAGGGAAGCTCTTCCTTGAGAGTGATATCAGCAGGGCTCATTCCTTCATCTCCCTCAAATGTCACCTGCGCGGTGGGGTCTTGTCTGAACACCCTACCTCACTCATATTTTCAGTCCTATGTCCCATACCTGGCTCTATGTTTTATGCATAATATTGCCCTTCAACATTGTATATAATTTACTCATTTATTTATTGTCTGTTTTCGAACTAGTGATGTGCCGAAAGGCAAAAGGAGTACAGGCAAAAAGGGGGTGCACTGTCTGTAGAGAATTTAAAATATAAATAAATAAAACTGACCAAAAGTTGGCCCAGGGTTTATTATACCATGCACTGACAAATTCTAAGCAGTATCAGTGATAAAATAATCCTCCAAAATAGTCCAAAATCTTTTTGTTGGTCTGTTTGTAGACAATTGATGCAATTACTGTTGAGTTTATTTATTTATTTATTTATTATTTTTTTTAAAGATTTTATTTATTTATTTGAGAGAGAGAATGAGAGAGAGCACATGAGAGGGGGGAGGGTCAGAGGGAGAAGCAGACTCCCCGCCGAGCAGGGAGCCCCATGCGGGACTCGATCCAGGGACTCCAGGATCATGACCTGAGTCGAAGGCAGTCGCTTAACCAACTGAGCCACCCAGGCGCCCCGAGTTTATTTATTTTTTAACAATTTATTTATTTATTTGAAAGAGAGAGCGAGAGAAAGCAGAAGCAGGGGGAGGGGCAGAGGGAGAGATTGAGATGCAAGCTCCCCGCTGAGGTCGGAGCCCAACATGGGCTCAATCTCGATCATGACCTGAGCCGAAATCAAGAGTAAACACCCAACCAACTGAGCCACCCAGACTCCCCTGGTTTTTTGGTGGTTTTTTTTTTTAAGATGTTATTTATTTGAGAGAGAGAGAGAGAATGAATGGGGGGGGGGCAGAGGGAGCAGACTCGCCGCTGAGCAGGGTGTTTGAAGCCAGAACTGAGATCACACCCTGAGCCAAAGGCAGCCACTTAACGGACTGAGTCACCCAGGCGCTCCCCTTACCCTGTTGAGTTTTAATAATAGGCTTCCAGTTAGTTATTTTTATTACTGTGTCCTTTAGTAAACATTGTATTTGTAATAGTGTTCTATTGCTACAGAATAAATTACCACAAACTTTGTGGCTTAAAACTTATTATCTCATGGTTTCTAGAGATGGTTTAGCTGGGTCCTCTGCTCCAAGTCTCACTGAGCTATAATCCAGGTGTCAGCCAGAGCTGCCATCTCATCAGAGGCTCAATTGGGGAAAGATCTGCTTCCAACTGCTTGACCTTGCAAAGATGAGGTCTTCATTTTCTTGCTGGTTATCAGTAGGGGCTGCTTGAGCTTCCAGCTCAAGCCCTGGCTTAGAGGAATGGGGTGGGTGGGGCGTTCAGGTGCCTGAGAGAGCTTTGTCCTCACATTGAGACTCTTGTCCTTGAGTCCTTGGATCTCACTGCAAGATTAAAGAAGATGTTGGGCAAAAAATGTATCTTTTTTAAATTTTTGAAAAAGATTTTATTTATTTGACAGAGAGAGAGAGAGTGAGAGAGCAGGAACACAAGCAGGGGGAGTGGGAGAGGGCGAAGCCAACTTCCCGCTGAGCAGGGAGCCCGATGCGGGGCTCAATCCCAGGACCCTGGGATCATGACCTGAGCCGAAGGCAGCCGCTTACCGACTGAGCCACCCAGGCGCCCCCCAAAATATTCTTTTTAATAAAAAAAATGGTGAGGGCGCCTGGGTGGCTCAGTTGGTATAGCACACGACTCTTGATCTTGAGGTTGTTGAGTTCCTGCCCCACGCTGGATGTAGAGATTACTTAAAAATAATTTTTTAAAATGTACACAAAACTTTAATTGCTGCAGGTAAACACCGTTTTGATAACCCAATTAAGGCTCCTCACATATTACTATGCCAGGAGGGAGGCTGAATAGTGGGAGTGGCCCTGGATCCTGTAAGGCACTGCTGCCTTTCTTGCCTCAGGACTTTTGCATTTGCTGTTCGGATGCTTGGAATGTTTGTCCCTCAGCCCTTCTGATCCTTCAGCGTTCATTATCAAAGCCAGGTTGGTCGGAGGGTTGTAGGTTATTGTTAAGTTGTTTAACATTATCAAAGCCACCTCCGCACTTCCACCACCTCAGTCCCTGATCGTTCAGTCTGTGCTTCCCTGTCACATCCCCCAATCATTCTAATCACTCTGTCCTATGCTTCTGTCATCACTACTCTCGGTTGTTCCTGTCTGGTGAGGAAGGGACTAGTCTGGCTTGGTCATCGCTGGGTTCCCAGAAACGCGCCTAGTAGGCGTTCAGTGAACGTTCAATTTAGGAAGGAATCAATCCCTCACCCTCAAAGGAGGGCAGAAATGAGGCGAGCTTCATCGCCACATTTTCAGGAACCACAGACTTCCAGGAAGAGCATTCTGTACCCTCTTCTCCCACCCCGAGGCCCAGTCCAAGGGTGAAGGTACTAGGACGTCACCGAGCCCCGGCGCAGGGAGGCAGGGGCCCCAGGGCTCAGCAGGTTTGCGCCTCCCCGCAGGCTAGCTCCTACCCTGGGCGGGCCAACTCAAGCCCCACCCTTCCCCCCCCAATCCTGGGGCCAGCCCAGGTGCGCCGAGGGAGGAGGATCGCCGCGCAGGTGCGAGCTCCCTGCGCCTGCGCTCTGCGCGCCCCGCCCCGCCAGGTGCGCCCCGCCCCTCTCCCTGACCGGCCACCTTCGATAGCTGCTCGGAGGCGGCCGCCATTGGCTCTACCGCCCACCGAGTGTTTGGAAGTGTGGTGGGGTTCTGAGCCGGGGGAGAGTCGCTGAGTGTCGCCGGGGGTAAGGCGAGTGAGGGGCGGACAGAAGCATCGTGGGCGTAGGAGGCAGAGTGTCCGCACACCGAAGGTCCGACGAGTAGGGGCCTTCCCGGGCACTTCGGCAGGAGCGCCGGCGAAGCACCTCGCAGACCCTCTGGGAGCGCCCGCACCTGGACACGAGGCTCTCCAGCGCGCGTGCGCGGCAAGGGTCTTCCCGCACCTGATCGCGAGACCCTAACGGCCGGCGGCTCGAGGCTTCGCGTGCGCTGCCGGGTGGAGCCCGTCATGGCGCAGCTGTGTGGGTCGAGGCGTTGCGGGGCGCTCCTCGCCCTGCTGGCCTCGCTGCTGCTCTTCCGGGCTGAGGCGGCCGAGGGAGAACGTGGCGTCCACGGTGAGGGCCGGGGCGGGTCTCCCGGGAGGAGTGGAAGGCCGAGGGCGGGGCGTTAGGTTCCGGGGGCTAAGTTGGGGTGCGAGGGGCCTTGGGCAGGGTCCGAACGGGGCGAATGGGCGGGAGAGGGAATAGGGGGCGACCTGGTGAGGCTCAGGGGCTGTGGTGGGGCGGGCTCTGGGAGATTGAGCCTGGCGATGAGGCTCGGGAGCCCCTGGGAGTGAGGACGGGCGGCGGAGCCAGGGTTGGGAAAGTTTCCTGCGGGTGAGGGAGGAGACTTAGGACTATTGACCAAGAAGGAGTGGCATTGGCCCTTCCTGTGGCAGGAAGGGGGTGAGAGGCCCAACAGAAGACCGGCCTCCTCCTGGCAGAGGGAAGGTCTGCTGCCCAGGAGATCCCTGGGAGGCCAGGCCTGAGAGGGTGGGGGTTGGATTAGGTGACGTAATGGCAATTTTAGCCTCTGGGAAGAAGCCCCCACGCCCACCTCTTTAGATTTATTGGACCACAGCCTCCCGAGAAATCTTAGCTGGTTCAGTTGCAGTAGAGCGCCTCCAAAAAGAAAGGTGTTTCCCAGTGATATCCAAAGGAAGGAGAAGAAGGACAAAAGTGTTGGAGGGGAGAAACTTTGCCAAGGTGCAAGAGTGGGGACCCCTTGGTCTAAGAAGAGTATTGGCACTGAGAAGCTGGGGTTGGGTTCGTGGAACTGGTCCTTAACAGGTTGGTAGAGAATAAGGCCCAATTTAGATTTCTACATTCTCTGGAAGTTTGGTCTGGGAAGGTCTTTTTGAACAAGTGTTGTCATAACCTCAACTGCTTCAGACAAGCACAGCCAGGCTTTGGAAAAAACCTTCTTTTCAAAGAAGAATTCGTTGATTCAAGCAAAACTTACTGAGCCCCAGATGTGTCAGGGATGATGGTGGACCCGGTGATAACAGTTGTGACTCAGACAAGCCAGGTCCCTGCACTTAAAAGAGCTTATATTCTAGTGGGAGAGACAGAGACAGTGAGTAAACATTTAGATAAAGAGCGGTCACTGCAGTATTAAATTACTAAGAAGTAAATGAACAAGGTGAAGTACACAAACAACGTGATGTAAGATGATGGGGCTGCTTTAGCTCAGGTGGTCGGGGGAGGTCTCTCTGAGGAGGGTAACATCTTGAGCCTTAACACAAAGACCTAGTAGGTGAGAGTCCAGTTGGAGGTAACGGAGTAGAGTCCTCGAGGTTGGCGCAAGCCTGGTGGTATTCAAGGAAAAGACAAGAGAACCATCCTAGCTGGAGTAGAAGTGGGGGTAGGGAGAGAATTGGAGGAGGATGTGAGGTGGGAGAAGTAGGCAGGAGCCAGGTGGCTTCCTAGGCCAGCATTTTGGGTGGAAAGAAAGCAGGGTGTGTGTACACCAAGTCATCACCTGTGGTGGCTTCTTAAGGCTGTTAATTTCCCCACGCCAGAGGCAGAGGAGAAAATGAGCTAATGGGGATGTCCAGGGTCACTGGGGAGAGAGTCAGCTCTGTAGGTCAAGGAATAAACAATGCAGGTGTTGGGCACCTGGGTGGCTAGGTTGGTTAAGCGTCTCCCTTTGGCTCAGGTCCTGATCCCAGCATCCTGCTCAGCGTAGAGTCTGCTTCTCTCACTTACTCTGCCCTTCCCCCCCCGCTTGTGCGTGAGCTCTCTCTCTCAGATAAATAAATGAAATCTTAAAAAAATAAATAAAACAGGGGCGCCTGGGTGGCTCAGTCGGTTAAGCGTCTGCCTTCGGCTCAGGTCATGATCCCAGGGTCCTGGGATGGAGCCCCGCATTGGGCTCCCTGCTCATTGGAGAGCCTGCTTCTCCCTGTGCCCCTCCCTGTTGCTCTGCCTACTTGTGCGCTCTCTCTCTCTCTCTCTGTCAAATAAATAAAATCTAAAAAAATAACTCATAAAAAAAATGCAGGTGTTGAACATTCTTGCAGTCTGGACTAGAATTTGACAGCCCTTCTGGACTTTTTTCAATGATGTAATTATGTTAGGATGTACCCTCCAGTTACCTGCCCTGGGACTTTATCAAAACTGAGTTTAGGGGGCGCCTGAGTGACTCAGTCATTAAGCGTCTGCCTTCGGCCCTGGTCCTGGGATCGAGCCCCGCATCGGGCTCCCTGCTCCGCGGGAAGCCTGCTTCTCCCTCTCCCCCTGCTTGTGTTCCCTCTCTCGCTGTGTCTCTCTCTGTCAAATAAATAAAATCTTAAAACAAAACTGAGTTTAGGGTTAACCTCTACTGCTTACTCTGAGCTCCCATGTGTTTAATCCTTGAAAGAACCTGGTGCAGTGGTGAAGTTAGACAGGTCTTGCCTAAGGTCACACAATCGTAATTGACAAAGTCAAGTCTGGCTTCAGAGGCCTTCTCTTTTCCTAATGGGGCCTTTCTGGTTGCTGCAGCTGGCTGGACCTCCTGACCTTTCAAAAGTACTCCTGTCTGGTTGGGTGAACTAATGACCTTGCTTATCTGAAGTTCTGTTTGTTTGAAAGCTTTCAGTAGTTTAATTTGAGGCCGGAAGTAGTTTTGATTTTTTACCCCCTTCTGATTGCTTTGATGAGTATGGTGAGAGGGGGAGGTGTGTAGCGAATGTGTGTGAGGGGGTGATCGTAATAGTTGGTCAAGGAACTTGATCTGTGTGAAGACATAAGGGGGCGGAGGGGTAGAGGAAAGGTGGTAGGGTCAGTGAATTGTTGGAGTTAAGGTTTTGGAGGGAATGAACTAGAAAGACAGGATACAATGGGCAGTGAGTGAGACGCTTGGAGCTGAGGTTCCAAGAAGCTGTGCTTATTGAGACAAGGTCTAGGCATAACCATTGTGGGGCGAGGCTGAGGAGAGAACAAGATCGCTGGAGAAGAGGTCTAGGAACCAAGAGGCCAGGATGGTCTGAGTGTCACCCACCTGGATATGGAAATCAATGAGAATGATGAGAGAGGCAGCATGAGAGACAGTGAGCCAGGAGCTAAAGTCATGAAATGAGGAGTAGTGATCTGGGCTAATGGATGATGCACAAGGTGGGGTACAGTCTACTTTGATGATGAGATTAATAGCTGGAGTTTTGAGAGGACAGAGGGAGAATGGTGTAGAAGCAGCATCAGGAGCAGGGAGACCAACCCTTTTGGGCATGTCCTCAAGGGAGAGCAGGGTCTGGTTAGAGTAAGAAAGTGATGAGAATGTTCCGAGAGGAGACTGAGGAAATGAGAGATTTTGCTTAAGGTAGTTGCTAAGTTCCCAAGTCCTGGAAGTTAGGGGGAAGAGAGATGGGAACAAAATAGGATGTATGGGGATGAGGGGGGTAATTCAGGAGTCTGGGGCTGATGAGGTGATAAGTGATAGGAGTGCCATGTGATTTCAAGGCTGACAATGTTGGGCAGGCACTGGGTGTTGGAGGGCAGACAGGAAGGGGTTTGGGGTATAGCGGACACTTGGAGTCTGGACAGAGGGTGTCCTGCATCCGGACCCCTGCAGATGGAGGTGGGGAAAAGCTGATGCTGCTCTGGGTGTTTCTGGCATTCAGAGAGTGCCAGTCTGCCATGGAAAGCGCACAGAGATCATAAACTGGCTGTTCCCAAGAGGCCTCAAACAGGCGCTATGTGACCTGTAGTTTCTAGAATTGGGAATTTTTTTATGGAAAAATTTGGCTGGGGCTCTGCCTGAAAAATGTGAAGATCAGTGGTACCAGGTTAGTGTTCTGCATACACCCACAGTGCTCCTTTTGGAAAGGATATGTACTACTCTCCCTGTCTTTTTTTTTTTTTTAAGATTTTATTTATTTCACAGAGAGAGACACAGTGAGAGAGGGAACACAAGCAGGGGGAGCAGGAGAGGGAGAAGCAGACTCCCTGCTGAGCAGGGAGCCCGACGCGGAGCTTGATCCCAGGACCCTGGGATCATGACCTGAGCCGAAGGCAGACGCTTAACGACTGAGCCATACAGGCGCCCTCCCTCAGTCTTTATGTATTTGGCCCACCCACCATTATCTCTAAGCATTTGAGTTGTGACCCCCCCCCACTCTTAAGAATATGCTCCATTTAGTAAATGGAGGTAGAGAAAACATAACAGCTCCTTATAAATTGTATAGTGTGGGGTGTGTGTATCATTGCTGTTGGGGAGGGAAAAGCCCTTTATCAGGTGGCCACAAATGTGTGTGTTAAAAAAAACCTTTTTTTTTTTTTTTTTTTTAATCTCTTCCCCTGGTGACAAGTCCTGTTATTTGGAGTGGCCCAAAATATGTAATTTTTCACTCAATTCAAGGGCAGATAATACAGTTGGCCCTTGAATAACACAGGGATTAGGGGCACCTCTGTGCAGTTGAAAATCCATATGTAACTTTTGATTCCCTGAAAACTTAACCTACTGATAGCCTACTGTTGACTGGAAGCCTTACCAATGACATAAACAGTCAATTAACACATATTTTGTGTTACACGTATTAAATACTGTATTCTTACAATAAAGTAAGCTAGAGAAAAGAAAATGTTATTAAGAAAATCATCAAGAGAAACATCAATTGTGTATTCCTTTTCAGAATAAACCTTTTTTTTTTTAAAGATTTTATTTATTTATTGGACAGCACAAGTAGGCAGAGGGAGAGGAAGAAGCAGGCTCTCCACTGAGCAGGGAGCCGGACGTGGGGCTCGATCCCAGGACCCCAGGATCATGACGGGAACCGAAGGCAGCTGCTTAACCGACTGAGCCACCCAGGTGCCCCCAGAATAAAACCTTAAAAATTCCTTTAGGAAGTTCAAGTGTAGTTTCTGCTGCCAATAACTTTATGCCTGACCTTGGGCATCAAAGCTTGGCATTAATGGGTACTGGGCTCATGGACTTTTGTTGATTGTTCTTGGGACTTTCCACTGGAGAAAAGTGCAGCAGCCTTCATTTGAGCCTTCATTTGAGAGCCTCTACTGCACTTTCAAGTGATCTTCAGTTTCCATTAACCTCTTGGGTTAATTACAGTTTCTCCAGCACCTTGACTTAAAGGACAAACTTC